TATGTTTGCCCCTTAAGACCCACATGAAAAACCCATAAGCCAATCCTCATTTTAGTATCACCAATAGTCGGATATAAATGTAAAAGTAAATGTGTTTGTTTGTCGGCTTTTCATGCCTTAACTACTCAACTGATCATCCTGATATTTTGTAGAGACTTTGTCAGGTGTACAGAAAAGGACATAGGGCACCTTTTATCCAGAATAAAAGTTCTGTTCCCGACGGATAGTAAAATTAGTTTCATGTAATCGATTTCACGCCTTTATTACTAAATCGATCATCTTAAAATTTTGTAGACACATTATCAGGGGTACTGGAAAGGACATAGGGTACCCTTTATCCAGAAGAAGAAATACCGTTCCCAAGGGATAGAGAAATTAGTTTGATGATGACCTTTGACACGTATTTGGGATACCAACGCAAGCGGAACCGCGAGTGATTCTAGTTTTCTATAATTTTCCGTTGTCTAGACTCTATAGCGATAGTATTTGCAATGACAGATAGTACTATCAAATTTAGAAAGTTATGAACGTTCAAACTTGCACCATATGCCCAAATAATCATTTTGGATATGCATCTTTTAGCATAAGTTTGCGTCATAATGATTATTATTTTCGAATTTTGTAATTTTGTTTCAGTAAAAATATAAATTTTAGACAATGAAGGCAAACTAGCATTGAACGACGCTATAATCCCTGTTTCGTATGTGTGCATCTAGAGCTCGTTGCACTCGCCGTTCGTTATACGTTACGGACTTTTTCTATTTGTTGAGGTTTTTCAATGAACATTTCCTCTAATAGCCGTTAATCCATCTTCCATGCGGTTTGCTTAATCCTAGTCGGTGGCCGCTGCGATTCCGTTTTAGAAATATTTTCTCCTTTTTCTCTTAGCCATCGAATAAAACCCGTTCCTGAAGATAATCTTCATTGCCTCCATTAGGAAACGCTAATTGCTCACAGACGTTAATCGCATTTGATATTCAATTATGAAATTTTCAGGTTAAAAAATGTTTTAATGATTCGAGGTAGATCCGTTTTAGTTTTGATTCATTTATAACTAAGTAACTAGAAGCATTGCATACATTATTTTTATTTATTATTACTTTTGTATAAGTTGCACCCTATGGAATGTAATTTTATCAATTATAAGCTACGGCGGTCGACGATGATGAAAGTAATTTTTTCGAGGAGCTTCCCAAATGGGTATACTTCATGTACTTGCCCTAGCGATGTGCCCCTTCCGATGTCTTGGATGCGTGCTGGTAAAATCGTAGGTAGGGAGAAAAAAGCTCATTATACTCTCGACTCTTGTTTATTAAACATACTTTTTCATACAGTACCTGCCAAAAGTTTTGTTCAATCATGAATAGTAGTGCGAGTCGAAAGCAAGCGTTAATGGCTTTAATATGTCTTCAAATATAAATAAACATCTCGTTGATATTTTCAGTAGTAAATGGTACCAATAACAGCACATTTGAGCAATGCAATTGTAGTGGATAAAATG